TATATATATATATATTTGTGAACAATACGTTTAAGAACGCTCTTAACGAGAACAATACCCATTCGGAAAGGCAGCGCAAAAGCAAACAATCAGCCACAGCTGTCGTATGATTAGGATTATTGGTGATATTAAAAATTGAATTATTTATAAACTTGGATCGAGTACATATATATGGTTATTGTTGTTATTGTGCGATATTCAACTTTGTTAACTCGCTTTGAAGATGTATAAGTTCTTTCATCTACCATTATGATCATACATGTATAATGTGTTGTCTCGATAAAATACGATGATTGAAACGTATCGAAAAGATTGGATTTTTTTGCAGAAAGTATCGTTTTTGGCGCGTAAATAAAGTTATATGAGAGAATGGATGGATAATTTGGTTCATTGTCGATAGTTGTTGGTGCGTAGGGAGGTGGTTTGTGTTAAGTGATATGATGTATTATAAGCTTGATAGTGTATGGTTTGGTTGGGTATGTGATATAGTATGATAAGATTCAGTTGGGTACATAATATGCATTAGTTTAGAAGATGATATATTTTGATAAGATTTGGTTTTGTACTTGATATGAGCCGTATCGATAAAATTAGCTGTGGGATCGATTGATTCATTGCATGATTATACTGCTATTATTGGTTGCGGAATCGAAGCATTTAATGGGATATTTGTGCTCTGATGTGGTTATGATTCATGTTTCATACCAAAGGGGGTGAATGAAGTTGATTGCTTTTATTTAATAGTGTTTGTAGGAGGTTTGAATATTTATAAGAAGAATGGGTCACCGTCTATCGTCGTTATCGTCAGGAGTAACAGGCTCACAAGTCGACAATTCAGCGTTTGATGGTGTGTGCTCATTGATTGTTGGTACTCAATATTAATATGAACAAAAGCATAAATGAGAGTAAATATGGTGAATGAGATTACAGATGATGCATCAGGATCTTTATCACGATCCGAATTGATGAATGCTGCTGCCGCAGCGTCAAGCACGGATGGTCGGTTGGAATGGGCACGAAACAGGTTTGAAGATGAGACAATGGTTGCGTCTGAGCCTGACCTGTTGATTGGATTATCAGTGACAGGTAGAGCGTCGTCGAGTATGCATAACAGAGGATCATCTTATCATCAACAGCAACAATCCTCATCGCATGGCCATCCGTCAGCCGTAGTTAATGAACGATTGTTTGCACCACCAGTGAGTATCCGACAGCCATCGGAAACGATCTCGTCATCACCTTCAGTGTCATCTTATTATTCCGCATCCAGCACACCCCCAAACAATCCCAACAACACTTCACATCGCAATTCTTTGATCAGTTCCATTGTACAATCGTCACATCGACCAATATTCGCATCAAACGCATCAACGCATCGAAACAATACTAGAAGCAGTTCACCGGCTAATCCTTTGGTAGTATTCTTATTTTTTGTTTGTTTACTCACATATTAATATTATTGTTAATAACGATAGAAATAATGATTCAGGGGAGTGCGTTTGAGGATATGTGGCGTCCATCGCGATTGGATATAATTTTGAATTCACCCGCACCAGATCGAATGGTACAAGAAGCTCACGCGTGGAATCCGGATGATAGATCGTTGAATATCTTTGTTAAAGATGACGATCATTTGACATTTCATCGACATCCTGTTGCACAATCTACCGATTGTATTCGTGGAAAGGTTACTTGTCGCTGTCGTTATTACCGTTTGTTGTCAATGATGTTGATGTTAAGCAATCTAGGTGGGTTATACGAAAGGTTTTCACGTTTGGCAAATCATATGGCCAACTAGACAACGTGGTACACATGCCGTGGTCGGGCTTGCTACAAAAGCAGCGTCATTACATGCTGTTGGGTATACAACGTTGATCGGTTCGAATACTGAATCGTATGGATGGGATTTAAGTGAGTTGTTTTTTTCATTTATTCACATATTCAGTTGCATATTTGCTCGTGTAATTGTGTTCACTTTTCGCAAGCACGAGCCTCGTTCCTCTTCGAGGCAATTGTAAAAAGCAAAGTCTTTGGAATTTTCGGGGCATACGAAGTGTTTTCGGGCTTCTTGTTGATGTTTTTATGTTTGTTATTACTACAGTTCGAGGAAAATGCTACCATGACGCGAAGAATACATCAGCGTGGAATTATCCGTCACTGTCTTCATCATCAAGTCGTCGTCACACAGACACAGACACCCATTCAACAAACAACAACAACAACAGCACCACACAAATTCCAGATCGTTTTTATTGTATATTGGATATGGACGAAGGATATATGGCTTTCGCCAGTGAATTTCAATATTATGGCGTTGCCTTCACGGGTTTAAAAGGCAAGAAGCTGTTTCCAATTGTATCATCGGTGTGGGGTCATTGTGAGATCACTATGCGATATTTGGGTGGATTAGATCGTTAGTTTTTTTATGATTCGTTTTCTTATTTATTTATTTTCTTTGTTATTATCATTCGTTACACTCAATTACCTTTAAAAAAGATGCGAGCATTATTTTCAGGGATAGTTTTGTAGGTAGTGAGTTTTATGCACTTGAAAGTTGTTGTGCGCAATTTTTGCTTTCATTGTCTGAAGAGGTTGACTCTTGTTCACACCACCCGCCGTACTGTAGAGGAACAGATTCTGTGCGTTTGTTAGTTTAATGGAATTTCTATTGTTGATTTGTTATGTGTTTGTTCAGCCGAACCGACTGCGTTGATGGAGATTTGCCGTAGAACGATACGAAGTCGAATTGGTAAGCAGCACATAAATCGTGTAAATGAATTGAATCTGCCGAATGGACTCAAGAATTATATCTTACATAAGTAGTAATGAATAATGAAGATTGTTATCGTTATTATTACTGCTATTAATCAATGGGTGGTGCCAGCAGCAATTGCGATCGTTTCAGTGGAACTTACTCAAAAACGGGTGGCTATTATTATATGTTTATATAATCATTTCATATTTATATATTGTGTTATTATTATTATTATTACTAATACCATTATTGTTGTTATTGGTATTATAATTACTTATTCGTAATCTCACCATTAACTCAACTCAAATTTCACCAATTCTCTATGTGATATACTGACTTAACCATGCAAAACCTAACTCCATTATTAGTATTGCTCTATTCATCTTGTATAATATTGCTATTGATGAATACTATTGAATGAATGTGGCGTATTATTGTCTTCGTGTTAATACTATAATATTGCTACTGATGAATACTATTGGCATATTATTGTCTTTGTATGTGATAGAACTGTTTTCTTTTGGGGTGGCAACTGTCGCTGTGAGGCGTAAGCGAGCGTGCTTCAGTGGAAGTAAGCCCCGCCCTCGGTGGCGTGTACTCTTTGCAGTGATGGTATTTGGGGTTGGAGCCAATAAGATGTACAATATGAATGTGATTGTATTCTGGAATATTTCAGTGAAGAATTTCAATTGTATTCATTTGCTTAGTTTCAAATTGAATGTTGTATGAGTGTATTTGATTGTGCACATTGTATGTATAGGTATATATGATATTGTTATTGTTCATTAATCGCTATTGTTGTATGTCGCGAAATTTGTCATGAATTGTCATCACAACTGTTTTGAGCCGATGCTGATAAAATTTTTCATCTGAACTTGTGGAAATTATTTGAAAATTTTCATTTTTATTATTATCTTTTGTCAGTCCACTTTTGGTCGTCATTGTAACGGTGCTTATGTTGCCGTTATGATTATTGTTATTGTTATTATTATTCGTGATTTTTATGAACAGATTCAGATAACAAAATGAATGAAATGGAGACCAGTAATGGTGAAGCAAATGAGCAACAACATCATCAGATTGCAAGAAGCGGAGAGGTATATTCTGTTGTATTTGTTATTCTATTTATTCAATTACAATGTTTGGTGTATACAGTAACAATAAATAATTGTGTTTTAATAGAAGGACGAGGATGTGGATGGTAGCGGTGAATCAGAAGATGATTTGATGAGGGATTACATCGATAAAAGTGATTCCATTCAGCAGTTATTCTTTGACTTTGAGGCATATCCGCTTGCTGATACGGATAAGATTGGCATCATTGATATGTTAACTCAGGTTCATTTATTATCATTTGTTATTGTTTATTTTATCTTGTTGTTGAGATGGAGAGCGTTATAAAGATGCTGATAATCTTTACAGATATTCTTGAGAGCAAATATTGACTTAGATGGTATGGCAGCAGAGCTGATAGAGCAGTCGCCATTTGGTTGTGTTTTTAAGGTGATTTTCAAAGTTATTGTTTGTTATTATTGTTATTTCGTATTGTGGTAATAATAGTTATTATTGTGTTTTTTGAACATCATTTTGTTTGAATTTGAATTTGTTGATTTTATAGCCTGCTGATGATACTGCTGATGAGGATAATGAAGATATGTTATTTGGCGTTGTTTCGATGTTAGAAATGACAACTTCAAAGGTTGTTTTCTATTTAGTTATTTCACTTTTAGTTTTGTGATAGTCTATCAAGTATTAGAAGCTAAATAATGAATAACGATAAAAATGAGTGATGATCACTACTTTTGTGATAATGTTGAATTATACAGTATTAGATAATTTAGAAGTATGGAAGTGACATATGGAATTTGTTGAGGGATCGTGCGAAGAAATTTGGACAAGAAAAGAATATTTTATCTTATTTAGAATCGTTGAATATTAATTTGAATAATAATAATAATAACAATACAAGAGTGGGATTATTTATCAATGAACGTATGTTACATTTCCCACCGTCGATATGTTCACCAGCCTTCAGGTCTTTGAGGTGAATTTTTTTTAAATTTGCAATAAATAAATTTTGACAAGAGTTTCATCCGATTGCTTATCGTAGACTGCTGTTCATGTAAGTTGAAGTTTTGAACTGAAGAGAATTAGTCTCAAGGAGTACCAAACCGGCAACTGAAAGCTCGAGCGATTCGAGATCCAAAAAATTTATTTCATTTTAGAATTTTTTTGGTTTGCAATAAATGAATAAATTTCCAAAAGAATTTCACCAGATCGCATCTTCGAGTGCTGACGTAATTGCCGAATGAATTTACCTAATAGATTGTTAATATTCATTTTAGAGAGGATATTTTATCAAACGGTAATAAGTATCGTTTTGATATTATTGTTATGATACAAAAGATTCGAATTGCGGATAATCAAAGTGGTGCAACCAGTAAACAACATAATAAGAAGAAGACTAGTAAAAATGATTATACTAATAATAAATCTCAGCATATTATCTATGATAATCCCGAGGAAAAACTTTTGTTGGAACGATTTGAAGAGGTAATTCGGTGATTTATTGATGTTTTTTCACAATCGCCGTCGAAGTGGACGGATCTTGTGTTAACGACTGTAATACCCTCTCAGCAGTATAGACCTTGCTCACGCTATGCAATAGCGCTAATTCGTTCCATTGATAATCGATAATAATAACCAATATTAGTATAATATAAATCTAGTAATGCGCATTTGTGGTTCAACCCAGCATGTCATTTGCTTATTCGTAATAGTAATATGAAATAAAAAGTGGTAAATAAATAAATAAGTGGACATTTTCAGAGTGATGCTGATAATTTGATAAGGTATTTCGACTATCCGGTACAGTCGGATGTCGAAAAGGAGTCGAAATTCAATTCAATAGTAATAAATGATGTTAATTATAGACCGTACAGGCGTGTGTGTTTTTTGAATGCACAACAGTTTGATCATTTTATTGAATGTGTTATTAACAATTAATGTAGTTTTTGAATAAACGACTTGTTTGTTTTATTGTTATTACCTGTTGTCGTTGTTGTTTTTAAATACCATTGACATATTGATGAAAATAATAAAAATCTTAAACGGTTTGACTCACCGATAACAGCTAGGCATTTGTTTGAATCAATTGCATATTGATGATTATATTTCCGTTGGGAACATTTGTATTGCTTGATGATTGCCTATCTTCTGCTTTGATTCTACGATTTTTGGTAGTTATTATTATTACTATCTGTGCGAAATGTTTTGAAGAGAAGAAAATTCTCCCGCAAAGAAATTTTTGTTTTTGGCGCGTGAATAAATGGGTGTAAACGTGGATTTGGTTCATTTTTAATGGTTGTCGGTTTGTGGTGAGGTGGTTTATGATAACGGTGGATTTTATGATAGGTTATGGTGAGATGTAGTTGGGTGTGTAGTATATAGCTTGGTTTGATGTGATAAGGTATGTAATGTGATACGATAAGGTTGTACTAAGAATATTAGTTGTAATCGATTGTTTCGCTTTGTTGATTAGTTCATTAAGCCGCTCATCGTATCATCACCGTCCGAACTCTCTTGTTTTTATTGGAACTGTTCGCGAATTTGAATCAGGAAAATCTACTTCAAAATTCAACTGTTTTTTGTGATCAGATCATTTTGTGTCCCATCTTCCTCGTTCCCTCTTAAAAAAACCCCTGACTAGACTACTGATCGTTGATCTTTGTAACTAAAGAACCGCCACCAATATTTGAGAAAAACGTCGTCTTTCTCACTGAAACCAAACATGAGTGCCCACTACTCAGTAGTGGGTTTTAATTGCCTAATATGATTGACTGAATATTGACTTTCGTGGTGATGATAGCTGATTGTGTATGGGCTTGAGTTAATGATATAGTTTTTTTAGATATTTTCAATAAGAGTAATAAATAAGAGACGTACTAGACATAAATTCGCGGTGATTTATTATGGCATCGTCAAAGAGTCAAGATGCTTGGTCAATTGCTGCCGAACAACAGGAACGCAATGCAATGCTGGCGTCAGATGTATCTTTGTTTTGTTTTATTATCATTGTCATTGTAAAGATACCTAAATATAGTCATTTTTTGGAATTCCGAATCGAAGTCAGCAGCGTCGTCAGTGCGGCGAATTTCACAAGAATCAAGTGGAGATAAGGCCATTTGGAGTGTGGATGGAGATCAACCAGATTTACGTAGGCTATTATTTGTTGCAATCGCAATCATCGGTAATTTTTTAGTTAACATGTTTATGGAAGGAGGCGATGCTGCAAGCCTGAGCTTTTGAACTGTGCACCAGCCTCGGTCCCGCGCCTCAGGCTTCGATGTAAACCCGAGGTGAATCTCAGCCAAAAGCAGAGGTTAGCCTTAGCTTAAGGCTTATGATCCCCTTTCATAGCCACGTTGACTATAATATTACCAAAAGGAATGTGTGAATTTCAATGTACATACATATAATAATATTTGTAATAAAAAGGACGATTTGAAGCGATGCCGAGTGAAGAAATCTCGTTGTTGAATAAGATCTTGCATAAAAAATTGGAAAATCTTCAACAGGGAAGTGTTCAAATATCCCAGTTGCAATCTGATCCGAGTTCACCGTTATATTCAGCGAATACCTTTGAAAGTCTTCGGTTGTGAGTTGTGTTTTTTTAAATTGTTTCCATATTTGCTAAGTTGATTTTAATAACATCAATGCCTATTCAATACGGAGTATGTTTGATAGTGATAATAGTAGTGATAATAATAATTAACATATGATAATACTTGTAGGAAAGAAGATTTATTACGTGCACTTCGTGTAATGGGTTTTTTAATGCCATCGAAGATACAAGAAGCTGCATTGCCATTACTGCTGATTGAACCGTATGTGTATCAATGAATAGTTTTGAGTGGATCTGCTTTTAGCTTTGTTTGATATTGTTCTTGGAATGACAAATGAATAAATATCAGACCGCAAAACATGATCGCACAATCACAAAGCGGCACTGGTAAGACGGCAGCGTTTGTATTAACGATGTTATCACGAGTAAACATCGATCACAAATGGCCTCAATGCCTTTGTCTAGCACCCACTTATGAACTAGCGATTCAGATTGGTGAGGTGGTCACTGCAATGGCTCAATTCATGCACAATTTACACATCCGATATGCTCTGAGAGGTGAACGAAGTGAGTTTCACCTTTTTATTCTTATTATTCTTATTATTAATTCACTTAATTATAGTACCACAAGGTGAGAAAATCGAAGAGCAAATAGTGATCGGTACACCGGGTAAAATGCTTGATTGGGTGGTTAAACTGAAAGCGATTGATGCATCAAAAATAATTTGCATGGTATTCGATGAGGCTGATGTCATGATCTCTCAACAAGGACACCGTGACCAGTCGATTCGACTGAAAAAGTTCGTTGTTATTTGTTTTTATATTCATATGTTTTTCACTTTTATTGATAACATAGTTTTGAAGAACTGCCGTTATTATTGTTGTTATTGTTACTGTCACCATTATTGATATTTTTAGTGTGATTATATTTATCATTAGTTGTAGCATAATAGCAAAAATTCTTATTGCTGTTCATGTTTTGATCTCTAATGAAAATTTGCGTTGTTTCAGTGAACTAGAAAAGTCTGGTGCGAAATATCAAAGTTTATTATTCTCAGCCACTTATGACGATGCAGTGATTGCGTTTGCTGAATCGATTATTAATGAAGCCGTTGTCATAACGTTTGCATTTGTTTATAATTTTTCATCGTTATTATTATCACCATCATCATTATGTAATAATAAATAAATTTAAGGGTACGTCGGGAAGAGCAAACGCTGTCGAATATAAAGCAGTACTATGTGAAATGCGGAAATCGCGAAGAGAAATACGAAGCAGTAATGAATCTGTATGGTGGTTTAACAATAGCATCAGCAATCATTTTTTGCTATGTATGTTATTGTTTATTGTTGTTTGTATTGTTATGGATTATAATCATAATTTTGGGTTGAAAAGTAAAGGGAGTCGCTGCAAAGTGCGATCATAATAATGTGAAGAAATAACTATAAAAAATTCAGACTCGTAAGTCAGCAGAGTGGTTGGCCACTCGAATGACCGAGCATGGTCATGTTGTAGCTTTATTGCACGGTGAATTGCGCATTGAGGAACGAGCTCGTGTAATACAATGCTTCAAAGAGGGCTATTACAAGGTGCTTGTTACGACGAATGTTTGCGCGAGAGGTTTATCTTTTGTATCATTATTTTGCCTTATATCAATAGTAATTAACAAAGAGATGATTAAATGCTCCGTTGAGAGAGGATTTTTCGTAAAAGAAACAGTATATCATCAAACAACATTGTGATTATTACTTCGTTCTTTAAGGAATTGATGTATCACAAGTAACAGTAGTAATAAATTATGATCCACCATTAACCTTCTCGGAAACACCACAACCAGATTATGAGACGTATTTGCATCGCATTGGTAGAACAGGTAGATTCGGAAAGGCTGGAATCGCAATCAATTTCGTATCAAACCCCTTCGAAATCAGTGTTATTCAGCGCATTGGGGAGCACTTTGGTGGGTGTTTTATTATTTATACCTTATGACTATTATTGTTACTGTTATTATTATTATTATTATTTTTTTTTTTTTTATTATTATTATTATTACTATCAATTGTTAACGTTTTTATAACTTGCATTATTCAGGGAAAGAGATTGAATTGTTGGATGCAGGTAATTTGGATGTATTGGAGGCAATCGAAAAAGATGAAAAATGATATTTTAAAATAAATTCGTTACTATAAATAAATATTTATTTATTCATTATGAATAAATGAATGTTTATTTAACTTTTTTTCAGTCTTTTTTTTGTGGGATTTGATTACAAAAACGAAATCAGTTATGAACTTATATTTCTTTTCATTGAAACAGTGGTATTATTATTTATATATTTGCAAGTAATAATGTTGTTTAATTGTACATTCCATACCGATTTTTATGATTCATTATTGTTGTTATCATGTAGTAGTTTTGATATTTAGGTTTATTTATATCGTTCTGTTATGATTGTACTATTTCAATCAAATTATTCACGATTCATTTGTGTTATATTATCTTTTGCGGTTATTATTGTTATTGTTTCATTGAAAAAGATTACAAATTTTGGGTATCGTTTCAAAACAACATTGGCATGGTAAAGAGACGACATGATAATTTATGAATCACATAAAAATAAAAAAATTAGAATTATGCAGTGAATAATTGCATAATTCTGGAATGATGTATGCATTCGCTTGAGTTGAAAGAGCGACGTTCTGAGAATGAGAGGTTTTATAGGTGATCGACGATTCAGCTCGTTGAGGTAGTAGTTGATCGCATTGTTAGTATAAAGTGGTGTATTTTTCATATTGGAATATCAGAACTAATCGTTGTGTGTGTATGAAAAGCAATGATAGTTGATGCTGATTATAGGTTTAGTGACGTTGTCTCATAATTTATAAGAGATAAGATACAGTTTGATCAAGATAATTAGCGACAGAATACAAACAATAGTAAGGTGGTGATAAATGATCTGCTTTCAGAATTGGTTGCACTCAACTTTGGGTATCGTTCGCATCGCAAGTGGTAACACATTTACTTCACTTAGCGTCGTTACTGTGTTGCTATCCTTGTTGTTACTAGTGCGGTTTATCACCATTCCAACTCAACATCATCGAGCGATTTTTTTGAACATTATTATATTTTGAAATTATTTCGATGATTCTTGTTATCACGAGTATTGATATTGTAACTGGGATTAATATTAATCTGCTATATAACTGTTATTGATTGCACTCCACTTCGGGTATCGTTCGCATGGCAAACGCAATTTATAATAACACATTTACTTTGCTTGAGAAGTCATCCATTATGAACATGCCAATATCATTCCAACTCAACAACATCAGGCGAGTTTATTATTATTATTTTTTGAAATTATTATAATTATTACGACCGCTGACATCATAATTGGTATAAATATTTATTGGTTCAATTGAAATAGTTAAAAGTAATGAGAAAATTACCTTTGATGTTACGACCTTAGGATGCGCAGTATGATATGGAGGTGTGTAGAACGAGAATAATAAGAGTAGGAATAGTAATAATAGTAATAGTAAAAAAATAAAGGCAGGACAAGTTGAGAAATAGAATAGAATAATAGGGAATAAATAATTAGAATAAAATAAGACGGAGGAAATTGGTAGACATTTCGGTGTAAAACAGTAGCTTCAGTACCCTTCAATGTTACAAGAGACGTAGATGTTGAGGGTAGTCAGAGTTGCATGTTTATGAATCAAGTGATAATGTTAATAACCGAGATGCTGTGATAGAGAAGGATTATTTTAGTTTTGTTTCAATGCTCATCATATTGTCATTCAATACTTTCAATCAAGATGAATGAATATTGATATATTTCATCGCCTCAAACATTTCTTGTCGGGAATTAACATCCGGTTTGAGGTCATGAATAAATAATGCCTCTTTTATTTTGCGGCGTTGCAGGTTACTGTCAACCGAGATGATTTCGACCTCAGTAGATGCCACCCGACCCGCATGTGTCTCTTTTATGTGGACTGACCATGGTCTGTCCTGTTCGGGATGCTTCATGTTCGCAAGATGTTGTTTGTAGCGGAGGTGCAATAGTTGACGCGTTTCTCCAACACATAATGATGGAATTTCTGTGCATGTTATTTTATATACCACACCCTTGACATTGCATTCCCCGTTTCCTTCCTTGCAAACTTCGCAGTCCGTCTGGTCACATCTGCTGTCGTACAGTTTGAAATGCACTAGTACCTCTTCGAGCGAAGGGAGTGATTTCGGGATAATATTAACTTTCACATTCCGTTTTGAGAGTATTTTCTCAACCCGGTATGAGAACGCATCTGTGATGTGTGGTATTCTGAGTTGGCAGTCCATACATGAACTTGCCAGGCCTTGAGTACAAGGATGATGTGTCGCGGCCATTGCTTTTCGCTATAATTGCTGCCCTTCTTCTCGCTGATTCCTCATATTCATCCGATGATAGTTCAACGGCTCTGCGCATGTAATTCCTGATCGTCCGGTTCTTAAGATCGCCAGGATTTGCTGATTCTCTGTTCAGGATGACAGCTTTCTTCATTGGCTTATGATACCACCTGTAATCGAGCTTACTATTGTTGATTCGAAGCTCCGTATCGAGGAAAGGGAACCAGCCTTCATTATCAGGTCTTCCTCTAGTCAGCTATATGCATTCATTCATCATACTGATATTATTGAACAATCCATGGATGAGTGTGAGGTGGCAATTACGATGATATCATCAATGTATCTGCGATATAGCAGAACATCCCGGTCGATACACCGCTGTTCTAGGAAATACATGTATGTTATGGCTAACAGTCGGGCCAACCGGCTCCCGATCACTTTTGCTCAAAGAACTTCTGGTTGAACTTGAATAACTGCATTTAAGGCATTCTTCTAGAAACAATTGGAGGTCATGAATTTGAAAGCCATAAGAGTCTTTATGTTGTTGTAGACGTGCTACGAGATTTTATGCAGTTCCTTCGTCATCGATGTTTGTATACAAAGACTCAGCGTCAAAGCTTTCAATGACTTTATCACAAACCTCGATGGTTTTCAGCTCCTTCAGCAGTTGTGTCGCGTTTGCTAGATGTGTTGGGATGAATTGCAGTAAGGGCGTCAGTATCTTTATTAGTAACCAACTAGTCCTGTCTGCCGGGCCATCGCAGCCTGATATGATTGGACCGAGATCATTTCAATGCCGCAAAATAAAAGAGGCATTATTTATTCATGACCTCAAACCGGATGTTAATTCCCGACAAGAAATGTTTGAGGCGATGAAATATATCAATATTCATTCATCTTGATTGAAAGTATTGAATGACAATATGATGAGCATTGAAACAAAACTAAAATAATCCTTCTCTATCACAGCATCTCGGTTATTAACATTATCACTTGATTCATAAACATGCAACTTTGACTACCCTCAACATCTACGTCTCTTGTAACATTGAAGGGTACTGAAGCTACTGTTTTACACCGAAATGTCTACCAATTTCCTCCGTCTTATTTTATTCTAATTATTTATTCCCTATTATTCTATTCTATTTCTCAACTTGTCCTGCCTTTATTTTTTTACTATTACTATTATTACTATTCCTACTCTTATTATTCTCGTTCTACACACCTCCATATCATACTGCGCATCCTAAGGTCGTAACATCAAAGGTAATTTTCTCATTACTTTTAACTATTTCAATTGAACTTCAAAATGCGCATATCTTCAATCCGTTATAATTATATTCATTATTAATTTGTTATATAAACATTATTATTACTACATATCGTAAAGGTTACGCTGATAAGATCAATCGTAGTCGATGCATATATATATATATATATATATATATATATATATATATATATATA